TCTAGAAACCACTAGTAAACCTGCAGATTGAGAGCGAAGTGCTCTGTTAGGAACATAAGGAACAATCATATCTCTGATATAAGATGGAGCTTGGCCATTTAAGGCTTTATATGTGAGAAGGAGGATTTTAAATTCTATTCTGGATTTAACAGGAAGCCAATGAAGAGAAGCTAGGATAGGAGAGATATGATCTCTCTTTTTAATTTTCATCAGAATTCTGGCTGCAGCATTTTGGATCAGCTGAAGGTTTTTAACTACAGTTTGTGGACTTCCTGATAGTAAAGAATTACAATAGTCCAGCCTTGAGGTAACAAATGCATGTACTAGTTTTTCAGCATCACCCCGGGACAGGATATTTCTAATTTTTGCAGTAATCCTCAGATGAAAGAAGGAAATTCTAGAAACCTCCTGATCAAAAACAACACCAAGATTTTTTACTTTATTATCTGAAATCAGTTTAATCCCATCCAAATGAAGTGACTGGCTAATCAGCTTATTTTTCAAAGACTATAAAGACTATAACTTCTGTTTTGTCTGCATTCAGAAGGAGAAAGTTAAGAGTCAACTTCTGTTTTGTCTGCATTCAGAAGGAGAAAGTTAAGAGTCAACTTCTGTTTTGTCTGCATTCAGAAGGAGAAAGTTAAGAGTCATCCAGGTTTTTATGTCTTCAGGACATGCCTGTAATTTATGTAATGGGTTAGCTTCATCTGGATTTATAGACAGATAAAGCTGGGTATCATCAGCATAACAGTGAAAATTAATCCCATGCTGTCTAATAATTCTACCGATTGGGAGCATGTATAAAGTAAAGAGAATTGGTCCTAGCACTGATCCTTTTGGTACTCCACAGGTAACCTTTGAGCATGTGGAAGATCTGTCATTAACATGAACAAACTGAATTCGATCAGATAGATAAGATTTAAACCAGTCTAGTGCTATACCTTTAATTTCAACAAAATATTCAAGTCTTTCTAAAACTGTATTAAATGCACCACCATACTTTTGCCTTTTTCACAACATACTTTTCACAAATTAATTTAATTTTTGTAATTTAAGTTAAGGTTAATTCTTCCATTTTACAAGTTTCTTTTTTTTTTTACAAGTTTTAAATGTTTAATTTCATCTTATTTTATGCCCTACTTAATTTCTTTTTTTTATATAATTGAATAGCTTTTAGCTATGAGTTATTAATTCCTGTAAGAGTTTAGTGTTTTGTGCACCATTGAAATTAAAATTCATTATTATAACTTAGTAAAGTGTAAGTCAAATATATAATACAGTGTAAATATGTTTAGTATGAGGTATAAACACTGCCTTTTGGACTTCTTATTTAAACCCGTTTCTCTCTGGAGCCGAGTTTCTTTGAAATCTCCTCTCATCCATCCATCATTTAAACAGTTTTTTTTTCTTGCTTCTTTATTTTCCTTTTTTTTTCTTCAAAATCTGTAAAATTCTTTTTACCCTCTAATTTCTCATCATCTTATCTTCAACCTTTTTCTATTGCAACATTAAATCAAAAATTTCTTCTTGAGGAGTTGACAATTCCCTGGAACCTTGCCTTTGTTCTACTGCCCTAAAACTGCAAAATCTGTCCCATTATCTACAGGTAATTTACCGGTTTCCTAAATGCACACCAATCCTCTGGTGCCGACCTGGAAAACTGGGGGTGATCCCACTCTAGCTTACTGACGTCTCAGTAAAATTAAGTACCTTCTGGTGGCACCTACAACCATCCTCTCAGTGCTTACAGAGAACCTCACGTTCCTATGAGAGGTCTTTTGGTTCACAGGTGGAAAAAAACCCAAATTACCTTTCGTGTCCCCAAAAGAAAAGTTCTCTTTCATTTTGTATGTATGTTCTTTAGTTTTATACTAATTTTATTGCATTAAAATTATTAACCTATTAATCTTTAACTTAGCTATTTTTTTGTTTGTTTGTTTGTTTTTTTTGTTAGATTACATTTATTTATTTGATTATTTTTATGGAGAAGAAGAGGACTTTGAGCTAATTTTCCAGTATTTAATTTCTAATAATCTTTAAATCTGTTAACAACCTGTTCTTTTTTAATTTAGTTTTTGAAATTAAATTTAAACTGCCGACAAAAAATTCATCTCACCGTTTCAAAAAGAATGGTTCGTTTGGATTCTCCTGCTGACCTCCTGAGACCTCGATGCCAGAAGTCCTCACTCCCTTAACATTCTAAACGGGGTATTGAGGCTGGAAGACTGCTTCCTCCAAGTGGTACCTGACACTTCTGACAATCGCTATCCTCAGAAAAAAATCAGTCAAGGGGAATCCTGCTTTAACAACGCCAAATTGTCGTGGGAAAAAAGTATATAACTATTCACCCTAGTTAAATAAATTTAACTCAGTCGGCACATTTATTCATATCTTGCAAAGAGTGAACCGTTATCATACAGCATAAGCGTCGTTAGACCTATTTAAGGGTGGCTTCAGTCATCCTTTCTTTGGCATTAGCCACCCTATAATTATTTTGCGATTTAAAATTTTTTTTTTTTTTTTCTGTATTTATTTTTTCGTCATATTTTCCCAAAACAAATGCAGTAAAGCACCGAATAAAAGCCATAAAGAAGACAAGTTAATCTGAACAATTATAGGCGTAACTTCCTTAAGGACTGGTGTGGACATGTCCCCACCAATCTTGACCGGTAGGGGGACAGTCCCCACCAATATTTTGTACACGTATTTTGCTTTCGGTGCTGTGTATATCTGATTAAAACCCCATACATGCCGCTCCTCAGAAAGAAAATAAAAAAAGTTCTCCCCGCTGCTCACCGTCCACAAACCCCGACAAAAAACTCAGAAAAAAAAAATGTTGCCTCTCGCTTTCTCCCCATCACCCCCCTCCACCCTCTCCCCATAACACCTGTCGCTTCCCTCCAAAAATGCTAACCCATTCAGGGACAGCAGTGGACTCAGACTTGCAGGTGAGAGGGACTTGTGGAAATATTAAGACCTAATTTTAGTCAGGAGAGACTTAAAGTAGTAAAAGAATAGAGAATAGTGTAAAAATAAGTTAATACCGTATTTAAAATATAACTGCACCGTTGGAAAAAAAACTCAAACCACTCTTTTCCGGCCCTGTTATGTCAGCTACATTAGAGTCCTGCGACGGGTCGGGTACCCGCTAAAAATACATTAAAAAAATAAACGGGTCGGGCGGATATTTTTTTAGTGCGGGCGGGTAGTTGGTGTTTTTTTTTTTATGCGTGTGTGTTGTTATGGACATCAGAAATGTTATATTAATCAGGCACTGGGTGCAGCGCAGCGTACAATAGCCTATGATGGGTTAACGGGTCGAGTTGCGGGTTAAATATCAACGGGTCGGGTCGGGTTCGGATTTGAATTGAAGATATCCGCGGGTGACGGGTTGGGTTCGGTAGTCATCCTAACGGGTTCGGGCGGTTGCGGGTTGGTAAAACTCGATCCGTGCAGGTCTCTAAGCTATACTACATTCAGTATCGTTGCCATAGAAACAGACAACAGCGCCAATATATCAGAATTATACTAAAACACACGCAAATAATTTCCCACATAAAAAACAGGACTTTCAGTCCATTACAGTTTTCCGTTTTTAGAGGGTTGTTTATTTTGCGTTTATTAAGTGATGGCTGTGGTATATGAGCTTTCACTGCTATAAGCTTTTGCAGCAGTGATTGATTAATTTAAACACCTGCTCTACTGATGGTCTATCGGAGTTGGTGTTTAGGTTGAACATGAAGAACACCTTTTATTTGAAGCTTCTTGTAGCTACTGTTTTAATCCCGGCTTTACTTAAAACTTTTTCCTGACTTTGATAGTGTTACCATTCAGTAGCAAGCACTGCGCCCCTTTTTCTTATACATGTACACGTACATTTAAGGTTTAACGTGTTATGTTGACAACTCATGCGCAAGCTGCTTTTTGCAATCTAGCAGGAAGGTAAGGATAGGATCTTGCAGGTGTGACGTCACTCTGCAGGGGGTCCAAAGATAAAAGATTTAAACAATTTTGGCATTGGAATTTCAGATTTAAGGGAGTTAGAAAGTTCACTTAGTAAAAGTGCAAATAATAAATCTGATTACCAATTACTTTTAAGCTGGTTGAAACTGCGACAGACTGGTGACCTGTCCAGGGTGATCCCACCTCTCACCCAGAACGTGGCTAGAGATATGCACCAGCACCTCCTGATCCCACTGAGGGATAAGGTTAAAGAAAATGGATGGTTGAACATAGTCCGCTCTCCCAGATTCTATCAAATCAGTATTGATACCCATACCCTGCTGGTGGATGTTCTTGACAGAAAGACGGAGTTGCTTAATCATATTCTGCTTAAGGCCCCATAAGATCTTGTCCGAGTCCTGGTTTAAAAGTAAATTAATTTTAAAAAGTGACCCAAAATTGACTGTCAATAAATGTTCTACAAAATTTATATATTTATTTGATTTCTTTGATTTGTACTGTCTGTTTAGATTTATGTGATATTTTTTGCACAAAATATATAAGTGAATATTGTAACAGTTATGTTTTCAACTGTAAGCATTAAATTGATAAATGTTATTCGCATTTTTTTGGCTTTATCCTTTCCAACAAAAAAAAAAAAGGCGTCGCGCAGGTAGCTCCCTTTCCTTATGAGCTGTCCCCACCAACTTTCAACACAAAGTTACACCCTTGTCTTAGACAACGCCTTAGCAGGTGCACTGAAAAAATTTCTTCTAGGGGCTGAGCCACCCTTGTCTCTTAAACCTAGAGACGCCCCTGTCATACAGCCCTTATGGCAGAGCATTCTGCCCTGTTCTGATCTGGAAAGTGTTCGTTCCCCATTACTTACAACAATGGAAAGTAGTCAGAATCAAAACAAATTACAGACACTTTGGTTAAACAGTAACATGTTAAGAATAAACCTTGAGAAAGAAGAGAGTATAGAAAGTATATAGGATAAATTAATACATAATAGAAGAGAAATCAAAAATTTTCCGACAACACCGTCAAAAAAACTCTCCTCCTCTGGCATGTTTTTGTAATGATCTCAGAATGTTGGATCCAGAATTCGAGGCGAGACAGGTAGTGGGAAAGTTCAAAGCAATTATTAAAACTAACAGGAGCGGGGGCTGCTCGTCAGGTGCGGGGCAGGTCTCTGCAGATATAGGAGAATACAGGTCAGTGACTGGATGAGGAGCTGATCACCACTTGGATCAAAGTCACTGACCTGATTTAAAGTTCAGTCTGTTCACGGAGAACACAGCTGAATCCAGACGGGAGATTAGACCACAGCTTGCAGCGGGCGTCTCCCCCAGAGGTGGCTGATGGAAGGTAAGCACACAACATAAATAGCAGAGGAACCATTTGAAAATGATTGGCGTTAATCAGCTGTAGAACCAATTACACAGCGGAGCAACAAGCAAAGGAAAAAACCAAACCATCAGTACCAAGATCATGAAAGAACCCCCCCTTCAAGGGCAAATTCCAGACTCCCCAATGGGCTGATCATGATGACCCCTGCAGAGGTCCTTATCCTGGATCTGTTGATATCCTCAGGCTTGCCCACCAGAGGGCGCCGAGGATCCTCTTCTTTCTCTTGTTATTTTCTCTTAGGGCTGGAGTTACTGTTGGGATCTGGAGATTACCCTCTGTCTCCAGCAGAGTGCGCCGTGGGTCTTCTGGAGCTGGAATCTTCCAGCACACCTGTTATTCATCTACTCATCAGGAGACCTCTCCTTTATAAGCTCCTGCCAGACCTTGCTTCCACGCCGCAGTGTTGATCTTAGTTTGGTTAGCTACCTGAACCTCTGTTACTGATAGAATCTTAGTTGTCTCTAGTGTGAGATCAGATTCTAATCTCTCCTTTGTCTGTGCCTCACAGGAAACCTGTCTCTGGTCTGAAGCTCCGGAAGAGCTGCCTCACTGGAACCCTGTCTCTGGCCTGAAGCTCTGGGAGAGCTGCATCACAGGAAACCTGTCTCTAGCCTGAAGCTCTAGGTGAGCTTAACCTGCTAATCTGCCCTGGTGAGCCAACCTGAAGATTCCTATGTGGATTTAACCTGAAGACTTCTATGTGGAGTTTACCTGAAGGTTCCTATGTGGAATCGGCCTGAAGAATCCTATGTGGATATTCCCTGTTGTTCTCTGCTATGAGCTGGAAGCTCAGCCTGAAGAATCCTATATGGATATTCCCTGTCGTTTTCTGCAATGAGCTGGAAGCTCAGCCTGAAGAATCCTATGTGGATATTCCCTGTTGTTCTCTGCAGTGAGCTGGAAGCTCAGATCTTGGTCTGCCATGCTAATCCTGAAGCTAGACGCTTAGCTTCTCATGAACTCTGCTAACCAACAGTCTCCGGTCCCAGTCAAGACTTCAGTGAAACATTCTCAGAAGTTGTTTATTCTCTCGTGTTCAGAACTTCTAATAAACATTTGAACTTTTTCCCTGCCTCCCCCGTGTGTGTTCTGCATAAGGGCTTGCTCCTTTGATCCATCATGACAGGATCAACCGGGCCAGAATCCAGGACCTCTCCCTGGGTCCATAAATCCCAGTCAACCAAATACTGGAGCCCCCTGCCCGTCCACCTAGACCTAAGGAGGCGGCTGACCGTGAAGGCAGGGCCCCCCTCTCTGAATCGGGTGGGTGGAGGTGAATGGAAGGGAAAAAGTTTTCCCCTATCCCCGTAAATAATATCCACCAAATAAGACTCAGAAGAAGGGGGAGAAAAATTATCTGGATCAGGCTCCGGGGGTGCTGGGGCTTAGGTTAATGAAGGATCTGGGGTTCTAGAAGTAACCAAATCAGTCTTAGGTAACAGGAGAGCTGGGGAGGCAGAGAGTACTGGTGTGTCCCAGCCTAGCCTAGTCCCACTCTCCCCTGGAGACTTCCCTACTAGAAAAAACTAGGCAAAAAACTTGGATTAGTTCAACAGAAAAATCATTATAAGAGCTACAGAGTTCAGGATTGTTGAGCCACTCTGACGTTCCCCATAATTTAGTCTTGCCCACTAACAGAGAGATTATATAGGCCACCATGGCACGATCAGAAGGAAAGCGAAGGGCTGTAACTCAAAATGATTCTCGCACTGAGTCTGGAAACCTCTACATTGGATCCCCCTTAAACAATTCAGAACCATAAACGACCAATCACGTTCACTCTATTCACTCGTGTAAAGTTGTGCACCACTCGGGAGAATTCGGAAATGTAACGGTTGGAACAGCTTTTCCCCTATGACTTTAAATCAATGGTTGTGGAGAGTTTTTAAAGTCAACGGAAGTTTGAACATTTGGACCCGTCTCAGGGCCATAGTGTGCAGTGCATGTGTGTGTATGTGTTAAAAGGGGGAATTCATTGTTGCCTTGAGGTCAGATGGGATACCACAAAAGGTTCATTGATGGTTAGAGTTTACATGATATTCTTTATCACGGGTCAATAATGAAGAGCAGAGTCACGACTCTTTCACTGATTATGAATAAATCCATTCTGAACTCTGATGGTCATGAGATGTAGCATTTGGAAATGTGTTGCACAAAGAAGCAGCAGCTTATTTGATATATATCTGTCCATGTATTCCATTGCAAATCGAAGGTCATAGCTGATAATACAGTAGCTTTTCATGGTTTATTAAAATTTCATGTCATTAGGTCCATTAGTGCTTTATCAAAGGGTCACAGGCAAAGGGTCATTGGATTGCAGGTTTCACACCGCCAGTAGAGGGCACATTTTCTTCAATAATCTACATGTATATATACATTATCTTTCCATTCATGCCCTCTGTGATACCTCTTAATTATAACTATAATCTTATTTTCTATATAATTATAATCATGTTTACCCAAAAATATCCACATCAACTCCTCCAAATAGTGACCTTCTTTTAGGAGGGCAGGAGAGAAAAAGGAATGAATGATTTAACCACATACTGAGCGATCAACACCAATAGCAAAGCTCCTGCTGGCTCTAACTTTTCAAAGAGCAGAGTTTTTGTTGAATGATTGAGCCGTGATGGAGAGTAAGGAGGGAGGGATTTGCCAGGCTGAGTCGTGCAGTGACATCAGCTTTGAAAAATGTGCATGTGAGCAAAGTGTGTATGTGTGAAATCCGTCTGATGCAAACTGAGGGACCACTCACTCTGCTGCTTTTCACTGAAAGCCGGGAAAAGAAGAGAAGTAACTAAAAAAAGAAAAAAAAGAAATATTATTTTTTAAATCTAAAATAGTAAATGCAGGAATGTTTGGTACTGGCTGCTGAGTTGCCAAAAGTATCATGTTTTAGGTCTTTATCAAGGGAAAATATTAAAAGGCAATTGTGTGCCCCTTAATCCCTCTGATTTAATGCAGGGAAGCAAATATATCTAAATCTGTAATATAAAATAATATTGTAAAAATCTTTAAGTTGGAGTGCACTCAGAATGTTTGAGGAACTGTCCAAAAGGCAAATATTGATAAATATATTGATAAAACATATTGATAAAAAAAACATATAAACATATAAAATAAATAAACATATATATATATATATATATATATATATATATATATTTCACCAACCTATTAAGCAAGTGCTCTAGACTCATTAGGACTAAAAAGGAAACTGTTCAAGAAACGAATTACTGGCTATTCTTTAACACTTACGTCTGAGCATATCTAGTAATTCAATAGTTTTTAAATTGCGAATAAGGATTCTCTTCCTCGCATAAATGTCTGGAAAAAGAAAAATGAAAAATAATATCTGCAAAAGCTTTTCTTTAGAAAGCCTATACCCTCCTCCCCCTTCTTATGCTCCCCACAGATGAGAAGTGCCCATTGCTGCAGGTACACTGACGGTTCTCAAGGTACACGGTTCGATGTGCTCATTCCTTGTGGCCGGGCCTAGGTCTTCTTTCCCTGTCGGGGAGTGGTGCGCCCCTGGGCTTCGGACCCCATGACCCTCATCTGGCCCCACCTTGGATGTGTGACTGGCTGACATCAGAGCCCATGGGCTCACTGTCATGTCCCTGTGAGACCTAGGTACAATCGCCTTTGGGGTTGGGCCCCTTTTCGGTTGCTCTAGTCGGCCCTTTTCTGGTTGGTGCAGCCAGCACTATGTCTGCCTTCCTTGTGTCTCAGTGATCTGGGGTGCCTGTGGATATCAGGGGCCGGGTTCACCTGTTTATGGGGTCCTGGGCCCTGTATGGTGGGTTTAGGGCCACCCACACCTGATATTAAGCATATTTTCTTTCTGAAGAAGCTTTGTAAATCCTTTATACACAACCATACATACCGCAGGAGTGTGGTTGGTACAGATCCACACTAATACTAAATACAAAGCTGTAACTACAGAGGTATGCACCACTCTGATTAATACTGTGTAATCACCATAGGTTTTGCATTCCACACACAGATTTATCTAAGTGATAACTGCTGCTCTTGAAGCTTTTTTGATGTTTACATTGCTTGTCTGTCTTCTTTTGCTGTTGTTATGCTCTGTTTTCCTTTCCCTCTCGTCTCATTCAGGTGTGGAAGCAGACATCAAGGAGTTACTGCATATCTTCTTTGCTGTGTATTTTTGCTGCTTTTATTTACTGTCTCTGTTTTCTAGCACTCTTCCTTGTCTGTATCTCTTTTTCCCTCCCCCGAGTTCATACCCTCTCCCTTTCTATTTCAACGTATGTTGTATGTAATTTTCTATACAGTAGACATATACAGTAGACATATAGGTACCAAGTCGAACCTTAGGCCAACAACCATAATGGTATCCTTGTGAAAGCAAATGGTCTATCATACAGCTCTGGGACATTGATTCCCAAAGCTATATAGCCAAACAGGACACACAAAAAAGAAAAGCCTACATGTTACAACAACTTTTGATTCCCCTTTGAGATCATTAAACATTTTTTTGTTTGTTTTTTCGTTTTGTTTTTTAATTAGGTATGGGAAGAAAGGCAACCACCCCCTATGTGCTGCAATAACTGAGGAGGCCTTCTGTTTCCTGATACCATTATGTTCAGTGCAGCAAACTATAAACTCTTTTGAATACTCCCTCAATGCTTATACAGTATTTATAATGTCTTAAATATATATTTTTTTAAACATTTATGATGTAAAATTTTAGAATCTTTAAATAATACTATCTACTATTTTTATTTTACATTTGCCCACCTTTTACTTAATTTATTCAGTATTTCTTCTATCTATTAATCCTCATAAATTAACTTTATTAGAGGACCATCTTCAACCTGTCTGGTAGAATTGCTGAAACCGACATCTTTCAATAGATGTAATATGTTTATGCAGTTGTTTATTCCAATTTTAGCAGAGATGTGTGATACTGCTTTATCATCATTCGGATACCCAGCAAATGCAGGGCTCGTATTGCAAATAACAATACTTTTAAATGCAGGTGTCATACAGCTAAAAACTGAAATTTCAGACACTTCTGCTTTTGTTTTTTTTTCCTTTTAATTATTGTGGTAAAACAAAGGACAGAATTTGGAGAGGTTTATTTATTTTTCTTTAAGTTTTCCCTTACAGGTGCAATTATTATCTACAGCAGCACTGCAACAGCAGTGCACTCAAAAATTACAGCATACATTTTACCATGATAGTGTCAACTCAACATTTATGTACAAAATTTGATATGGAAATTGTTGATATTTTGGATTGATTCATCAACTAGCTCTATTTAGGTGGTAGATCAGACAAGAAGCTTTCTCTGTTTCTATGATCTTCTTTGCTTAAAGACCTCGGGGGCACTAAAGTCTTTCTTACTTGTCTTAAAATATATATATATATTTTTTTTTCATTGTAGAAGCTCCTTAAATCTTATGATCCTTTAACGACAACTCCTATCTTAAAAGGTGAAGTTCTAAGGAATATGTTTGAATTAGAAGAATCCTGGTTTAGTCCTAGTCTGGTCTAGTCATAAACCTGTTTATGAAAAAAGTGCAGACAAAAAACATATCTATTAAAGGTATTGTGGAAGATTTTCTCAAATATTTCAAAAGACCCGCCCTCTCCACTTAAAAAAAAATGCGTGCACAAGCTTATTTTTCCTCATGCTCTGTTTAAAAGTTGCTATTCTCATACTGTAGCTCATACAAGCTTACTGTGCCCAAACGTCCGCCCTAACCCATAAATCACTAAAATCCCTTAATCACTATATAGAGCAGGGACTTTATGGTGAAGTCAGTCAATTTACCGTTCGGACAGATGATCACTTCCCCATTGGTCCACTGCGAGGAGCCTGTGCCATCTTTGTTATTAGTTATTAGCGGCAGCCTACGTGACAGCAAACCCCTGCGACAGCAAATCCTATAATGCTTTGCGAGGAGAGTTCTCTGCGCAAAGCATTCTGGGATATATCAGCCTCTTCTGACGCCTTTCTGTTCTTCTCATACTCTTGGTAGACACTTTTTGTCTTACGACCCTCTGCCATTTTCAAAAAACCACAGTGTTAAAGATAGGCTCTAAACATATCACCAGAATGATTGACAATTAGGAGGACCACTTATTTAGATCATCACCCGGAAATAAGAGATCATCCTCTATACCTTTAAACTACCTTTTTATTTTGTTGAGGCCTATCACTTAGAGTGTAGTTTGCCTCATTGGCTAGGTGCTAATTGTTTTCATGGTGGATTGTGTAGGTCATCATAGTTACTCAGCAGCCAATTACTTTATCTTAAGTTCAATCAGAATATTTTCAATGCCATTCAAGCTTTTAAATTACAATGTTCACACCATGTTTTTTCGCCCACAATGTTTATATTTCATTACTTCTTCACTTTAAGAAATGGAAATGTCATGGGAGCTGTACAAAACGAAATTTAGTTCTGTATACTGTGTATTCAAAATGACAATAAAAGTTGTCTAAGTCTAAATAATTATGGACCGATATTTAAATAGTTACAACGGAATAGGAAAGCTTTTATTTACAACATTGTTTTGGTTTTGTTTTAAAAACACAATTTTATTCAAATTTGCAGAACTGTTCAACATATTTTCAGTGCAGTTAGAAACTAACCAATATGCACTTCAAGCTTATGCTTTTAATACCCTAATCGTTTGGGCCTCCATTTATAAGATGTATTAATTTAGCATGTGATTGTATTTTTCAAGTTTTTCCTAAAAAAAAAACAAAATCAGAACAAATGTTTTGCTTGTTAAGTGATAAAATTACAGCTGACGCCTCGGAGTGAGACATTGTTACAACAGACGATCTCTGGACGAATCAGACAGCGCGCTGAGAAAGGGAGAGATGGGGGGGGGGGTACAGAGAGCGAGCGAGCGAGCGAGAGAGAGCGAGAGAGAGAGAGAGAGAGAGAGAGAGAGAGAGAGAGAGAGAGAGAGAGAGAGAGAAGGAAAAGGCGTTTCCACGTTTCAGCGCCCTGTCAGAGAACAGCGGACTTTAGAGCACACAGATTTCCAGAGATCACGACCGAACGTGAACCTAACATTCCTCTGTTATCATCCTCCTGCTCTGACTGACAGCTGCCCTGACCCCTTCACGGCAGAGACTTAAACAGGCTCCTGATCCTAAAGTGAACCAGCCGAGGTGGGCTTTATTCCCCCCGCCCCTGCTCTGAGGCCGACATCGACTGATTCCCAGAAAACTCTCCTCCTCTGATCCCCGCATCTCCGCCTGCTTCTAGCTGTCTCGTTGTTGCTGCGCCCAGGGTGAGTAGCTCCATCTCTGTTCGTCTCCGCATTTATTTCCCAAGAGTTTAATTTATATGTTAGCAGTCTGGAGCGCCCTTCATTCATTTCTCTGAGCTGGTAGCCGATCTGACTCCTTCATTCATGGACCTGTTCCATCTGCCTGCGCGCATACCATTGCATGATGTGAGAGTACTTCACAAGCAGTCTGGAAAATCTAGATTTTAACCTTTTTCTCTACAGTGTTATACCTTTTAGGTTGTTATAATTTCAGTTCTTTATTTAAATATTTTTTACATTTTTACAGTATTATGCGTAGTAACACCCCATTCTCAAAGGAGCGTTCAATTCTTCAGCTGCTAAATTAATTGCATCTGGATTATTGAGCCGGCCAGTTCACATGTATTCACTGACCTTTCTCTGCCCAGCGTCCCGATGGTACCATTATACTGACTCTATCCAGCCATATCATTCACGTTCAGCTGCTGAATCACAACAGGTTACCTTGTTACATATCTGCAGCTCCAAAGTGATTGTTTCTAATGTAAGTTGTTGTGTAATTCAGTTGTTTTGGACCAGAGTTTCTGAGGCTTTTTAACTGGATATCTGATTGTAATAATTTCCTTCTGGTGGCTGGAAATTTGACCATAAGGGTTGATCTTTTTATGAATGAATGAGAGAGCATGGTTAGGGTTCTTGTACGGAGCTGAAACCCTGGACTTGTCATAGTCATAACTAGTCATGAGTTTGCAGGATATGTTTGTGGTTTGCGAGCCTGAACCTAACATGACAGTTTCATGGTATCACATTGTTCACACAAAACATTCATTTTTTCTGGCTTTTCTTCAAACAAAAAAAGAAACAATCATTCGTTCTACAACCAAACAATGTTATTTCTTGCATTGTGTTTTGTTGCTGTATTGTAATTGTTAGTTTCAGCTATTACAGTAATAAAATATTCACATGTAACATTTCCCTTTTCTTTTATTTAACACTAAAACGAAACAAAAACGGGCTGCTCGGTGGCGCAGTGGGTAGCACTGCCAGCCCGGGGTCTTTCTGCATGGAGTTTGCATGTTCTCCCTGAGCACACGTAGGTTCTCTCCTGGTACTCCCACAGTCCAAAAACATGACTGTTAGGTCAATCTAAATTCTTCTTAGATGCGAATGTGTGCATTAATGGTGGTTTGTCTCTGTGTTGCTCTGCGATGGACTGGCGACCTGGTTGTCTACGGGCACCCTGGACAAGCACCCTGGACAAGCATGATGGAAAACGGATGGATGAACAAAAACAGAGAGTTTATATTTATGTACAGCATAATACATTTTCATTGGCTGGTATCCGTCAGGCTAACTGTTCATCTTGTCCAGCCTGTAGCCGCTGCTTTAAGACAGAGTAATCAAAGGAGCTATATCATTTCCACACTGTAAAAGTCCAGAATAGTCTCATTTTTTCTGTTAAGCAAAAAAAATAAATAAATAAATCAGTAGCATGTGCTGCCACAAGTGGAGGAGGGGCAACACATGATTACATGTTATGATACGTGAGAAAAGTCAGTCTGAAACTTCTCCAGGATCTCATTAAAGAGGAAGATGTTTACTTTTTTAAAACTTCCTCTACCCAAAACCAGTCTATGTCTTCACACAGTATAAATGATTGGACTTGCTAGCTGAAGGTTTTTAAAGAAAGCATGTTTCTTGGAAAATATTGATTTTATTGAATTATGAACAGCTTTTTAGCTGGTGCAAAGGATGATGATTGGAGTCAAATGGCACATATAGTTAATTCCATTGAAAAGCTTATAAGTCTTCTCCAAATGCTCTGCTTGCAAATTCTCCTGAATCATTTACAAATAAATTGGTGAAAAAAAAACCAAATCCATACAGGGTCATTATTATACGAACAGTGTGTGTATGCACTTGTAATTCGGTCCACGTCACATAGGAAACCAGAAAACAATTGGTTAATCAGTGGAGTTGATATTGATGAATGAGTTGGTTCTTGGAACAGCTATTTACCTCACAAGCAAAAATGAATTTTCACAAAATTTGTGAATTCACCATCTCCCAAAAACACATCTTGCTTGAAGTTGATGAAGAAGCATTTGTCCGGAATACAGAAATGTGTTTGAACCAATGACATACTTTGATTCGTATGACATCAACCAGAAGCAACAGGCTGAAACGTTTGAGCTGGTTTTAGCTGGAATAACCTGTCTTTCTTTTCAGAGAAATTAGCTAAAGGACACAACTAGCACCTTTCTCAATGGAAATTATGTCTGATCATTCATCCCGACTGGATTTGATTTATCGGTTATGTTCGCTAACTGTGAAACAAATGTAGAATGTGATTCGTCACATCTGCTACTGATGCTGTGATTGGCTAAAAGATTAATGTGGGAGACAGAGGCCACTTCTGGATTTACCCAATCAGCTTCATGAAATCTACTTGATTATTTATAACTTTTGCAAATGCTTTTAACAGGAGCCTTTCCAAATACTGTGCAGAATTCAAAGTTACACAGAACCAGGTTTGAATTAAAATTCAGTGTGTTTTTAACCTAGTCATTCTATTCCAATGCTATACTCGATTTGTAATTGAGGTCACTGTCCTACAAGTTTCAACCACCCCATAGCTGACTGTAGGGAAGTAGAACAATTTTGAGGCAGTATATTTCTAATATTGTTACCACAATAAGCACCAAAACCACTGGAATGTAAAGGCCCACTTCTTGCTGCCACCACCATGTTTGACTCATGGTTCCAAGTGTTCAGTACCTCACTTTGATCCCTCCAAGTGAACTTGTTGTAATGGTTGGGAAATTGATCTTAAATGAGTGCAATCACATACTGCCTTTAAAGAAAACACACAAAAAATATGTCCCTCTTCTAAATATAAACCCAAACGTTTATCCTGATAGTATTTACTTTTTTTTTTTTTTTTTTTTTTAAACCTTTGAAAAATGTTGCTATTGGTTTGAATAGGAAGCATACACATTGTTGTACTGCGTTGACATGTGCTAACTCACACATCCACCAACTTGGCAGGCTCTGAAGCTTTTACTCCCGGTTCAAGGAACACAAATGTTCATATTTTTTATTATAAGAATATTTATATTATATAATATTTATACTGTTTTTTGTCTCTATTGGTGTCCAATACTTTGTCCTATTTGTTTTCACACCTCTGCTAGGGAAAATTGAGATGCTTCAGATGCTTCAAAGTCTCTTCCCAGAGGGCAGCAGGGAGAACAGTCCATGTTGGGGGTGTGAGGGGTCATTGATGATTTTATGGGCTTGGGTCACGCAGCGCTGGGATGAAATGTCTTTTATGGAGGGAAGAGGAGGCCCGATGATCTTCTCTGCTGTTCTCACCACTCTCCTCACTTTCTTCCAGTCTGAGGCGCTGCAGCCTCCAAACCACAAAGTGAGACAGCTGGTCAGAACGCTCTCTATGGTGCTTCTGTAGAAGGTGATGAGGATGGGTGAGGGCAGGTGGGCTCTCCTCATCCTCCGTAGGAAGTACATGCGCTTCTGTGCCCTTTTGACCAGTGAGGTGGTTTTAACGTTCCAGTTGAGGGTGTCTGTGATGTGCAACCCCAGGAATTTGGTGCTGTTGACCACCTCTACAGCTGAGCTGT